GCTTTTCAATACCTAAAGTCACTAACCACTTTCCATGCACTAGTATGACTCAATCAGGGCCACTGCCCTGTTATAACAGTAGTGAGGCTAGCTTTGTCTAAAAAAAAAACTATTAAAGATTTCTAAAGAAAATGAATAATAAGTGATTTGTTGTAAAAAAATAGATAAAATTTTAATATTACTAAATTGTAAAAAATATCTTTCAAAAATCTTCATGTTGTTTTTTAACTTTTACAATAGATATCTATTACAATGTATTTACTATGAAAATGTCTTGCAAAAGATATATATTGCACCATTTAATACTTTCATATTTAAAATGGCTTTTATAAGATCTCTTAACTGTCTAAATGACAATTGTAATGAAATGAGTGAATTTAAATAAGGTAATATTTCATATTTTTGTTTTTATATAACTAAGTAAAAAGCTAGAAAATACACTAGTGTGCTTGTAAAAGAATGAGAACATTACGAGTTGGGAATTGTGTGGGTGATACATGTGTATGTGAGAAAGTTCAGTTACTAAGGGGAAAGGTATCTCTATGCCTGGGAATGTTTCTGGTCGGTGTTGTCACTTTTACCACATACTAGAATGAAAAAAGAGAAGGAGAATAAAAGACAGGAAGTGTCCCATTTTTATAGCTGCTTAACAGCACCCTCTAACAACCTTTTGATGAAACTGGTGAAACTATGTGGGTTAGTCTCCTTCTTGATAATACCCCAGATATTGAAATCCATGGAATTTAGATCAAATCTAGGAGGTTATATCATGAAGATTCTGTCAGCCCAACTTAGACCATGTGGGAGAAAGCAGAGTCCTGTCGGTATCCTATGGACTTTCTAGGCCACTCACTTCATACATTGCTTAACCACTATATCCAGCACCTCAATGTAAGCAGTGCAATAGACTCTGAGACCTTATAGAAACATATGAAGACTCAGGACCGTCTCAGACAATGTCAATTTGTTGTATGTTACCATGGGTATCTCTGCGGAGTCTGCATAAAGCCACCTCCCATAATTCCAGTTCAGCTTCTGGTACTGGTTGAATTTATTCTCATTGGCAAAGAACAAACACATGTCACTCTTTTCAGAAGGCTTTCACTCATTTGATAAGTGCTTCATTTAGATTGCACAATTGTCCTGGGTCTTGTCGAATATGAACTATCCTCCTCTCATGTAGGACTTGTACTTGATGTCCTGAGAGCTGTACCCCATACACAGCAGTAGACTCCACCACCTTCAGCTGCTTAGTGATAGTGATACCTTCTGCAGTCATTGTTGATGATACCCTTCTGAACAAACTCAGCCTTCCTTATAGCATATGACTATTTAAAAATTTTCTTTCTCTAGATCACAGGTGGCATCTCCCCACCATAGGCTCCCAGTTCATTCTTGACTTTAAATATAAAAGACCTGATCAATTTCATGAAGCTTACTATTTTTGAGCTATTGTGGTTGGCAGCTATTTCCATGAGCATTAAATACTTTGTTAGTTCTTAAGCCATGCTGCAATATTAATGCTTTTGATACATTTAGAAGAGAAATGTAGTGACTATATCCATCATAATATGCCTAGATATAACTCCAAGTTTATTGAGTGAGGGTCAGTTCTAAGTCATATTCACTCAAATGAATTGGGTGAAAGAGAAAGAAACTCAACAACCATTATTATTTAAATATCTTTATTATCTAAACAGGGAAAGAGAAATTAAGAAAACAAAGTGTTTGCAGGCAATGTGCATCTGCAGACTTAGCTTAGAAGAAAAGGCATCCATGTATCTTGTCAACAGTCTTAGTTGAACAGGTCTTCTTTTCAGTCTATGACTAGTTTCTGTGGAAAACAGTTGACAGCTAAGTACTTCCATAACTTGATGCCACAGTCTAGGGCAAGTGATAAAGAGAGCAACTTTACTTGGTGCTGCCTGAATAATGTTGTAAAAGAAAGGAAGAATTTGGTGCTTTTATAGCCAGTGTCACAAGGGCAGTGATTGGTTCTTTAACTATTCTGTATCCTTGTTTTATTCTTGTATCCTTGTTTATTGATTAAGCTAATTTTTCAATTCTTCTTCTGTATATTGTGTACTTCAGGATGTGAGTGATCATGGCTCTTCATAACTTCCCCTCTTTTATAGCTCTTAGCAATGTTTGTCTTTTTACTATCTCTTTCACTCTCTCTTCTGCCATCCACTCACACAAGCTTGTTAGATAAATTACTTGTTGTTTCCCCTGTCCCTCTTGTTCTTGATATGTCCTATTAGTGTCAAGAGAATTACAAATATAAGCTTGGATGTGTGGGTGGTGTAACGGCTAATGACATGGAATTTTTAATCAGAGAGTCAAGTTCCAATTCCCATTGGGTTTGTTATATTCACATGCACAAATATCCTTAGGAAATCCAGTTCTTCTCCCACCAGCTATGGGTTAATTAGCAAGGCTTGTATTACTAAACCATTATTATCTCAAAAAAAAATATTCTTACAATCTAAAATATTTTTCTGGCTTTAAATAACCTTGATAGACCATAGAAAATGAACCAATCAATCAATCATGCAAGTGTCAAATTTTCCAAGCCTTCTTTCTTCATTATGTGTCTCAGAAATTTCAGCTATCATTCTCTGTGACCTTTTTGTCTCCATTTTTCTTAACACTTCCTCATTGCTTACACACTCTATCCATGGTATTCTCAACATCCTTCTGTAGAACCACATCTGTGTTGCCTCACATCTCTTCATCTGTGAGGAAATTGTCCAGCATTTACTGCCATATAAGAGGGTTGATATTTCATAGCAGTTCAGCACTATTTTCTTTGTTTCTAATTCTAAATTGCAATAGAAATGAAAAATTTGGTACATGCTGCATAACGTTACATTAGGTTATCATCCATTTAAGGTCGACTAAATATGTATGTTCACAAATACCTGGCACACCCTGTGCAATGAGAGAGCCACTTGATATAATTTTGGTGTTAATTAGAAAAATAAAACCTCACTTCCTCAAAATAAACCTGATAATTTAACTAAACTAACTCTATCAAACTAAAATGGTTTCTTTCTCCAACAGCCAGTGATTGATTTTATAACAGGAAGATTTGTGTTTATACTGGTTTCCTGTCACAATGTTATTAATCACAAAAATCAATATGAACATAGTAACTACAGATTAAAGGTTTGATGTGGAAGGATTGACAAACTTGCCTTGTTTCCAATAATAAAAGGTAGCATTCAATGTCTACTATACTTTTAAGCACTAATATACAATATAGGTACATAAGCCTTCAGCCGAATGATGAAAAAAGTGCTTACTTTGCATAGCAAGTATTTATTTTTCAGGCTAATCTTCTTTCTTGCCAGTGCACTTAATTTGGTGATGAATATTAATCCCATAGAATGAATATTATACAGTGAACATTTCAGATTAAAATCCATCTAATGACTATGTGTCAGGCAGCTAATTTATGGATTCAACTTCAAATCTTTCATTTTTTGAAGTGTTATATTATTCATATATAATCTATAGGGAGTACATAATTTTATTAAAGCTTTAAAAATAGACACATTTTAAAAAAGGACATATTAATACATACTAATATATTTGTTGTGATAATATAACCCAACTTCCCCATTCACGATAATGGACGGACTGGTTGCTGATTAAGTACGACCACAGCGGACAGTCGTCAAGTCTTCGTTTGTTAACACCTATTGAGGTTAGCATACTCCCAACTCTGTCTCTGTACTTGACACACCTACATTCGATTATAAACCTATTATTGAAAACCAACACTCGGGTTACTTTGTTTATTATATCTTGCACGAGATATAACAATATTAAAACAAGGAGAGGAAGCACAAAGAAAATGGTTAATCAAAAAATTATGTAAATAAAGAAAGAGAGAGCCGGGATTCTGAAGGTAACATCAATCAGCTAAGTGACAAATTTTATATTTATATTAATCCTATATATATATATATATATATATATATAGAAGTGGACATTGAAGTCAACATCCAGAGAAGACAATCTGTTTCATGCTAAATGCAATCAACAGGCCAATTGCCATTCAAGCATGAAACAAACTGTTGACCTCAGTATCCACTTTTATATTAACATGCACTATCCCTAATATTGAGCACTTTAAACAATAAATATAGCTTGAAATTATATTTTTTGTATATATATATATATATATATATATATATATATATATATATATATATATATGAAGAAATATAGTCTTAAGATGTGCTATATTTATGGGATAAAGTGCTCAATATCAGAGATAGAGCATGTGTAATATAAAATTGAACATAAAGTCAACACTTAGAGGCAACAGTCTGTTTCATGCTAGATGCATGGTGGCCTGACAATTGCATCTAGCATGAAACAGACTGTCGCCTCTAAGTGTTTACTTTATGTTCACTTTTATATATATATATATATATATATATATATATATATATATATATATATATATATATATATATATTTTTTCATTCTCACAATCTGGTGAAAAGAGGTCAATCTGTCAGTTTTTCTCCACAACTGTTTCCTTTCCTATATTACTCCCATCCCCTATATCTCCCTCTCTAGACATACATATCTCCTTCTCTTTCTTCCCATTTCTCTCTCTTTCTTTTCCCTTCCCCCATATTAAAACTTTGTTTTTGAAAATGGAAATAAATAAAAAAGGGGCATTGGAAAGTCAAGGGTGGCAACTCTATTTTTTCCAAAAATCAAGAGAGTAATTAATAATAATATTACTAAACTAACTAAAATTAATGATATCAAGAACAAAGTATACCATGATAAAATAAAATAATATTAAATTAAACAAAATAAAATAAAGTACTAATAGAAATAATAATAACATTAAATAAAAAATATTTTATATATATATATATATATATATATATATATATATATATATATATAAATATATATATATATATATATATATATATATATATATATATATATATATATATATATATATCTTACAGCTATATCATATTGAAACACCATTTTCCGTATGTTCTCCAAAGTTAAGCAACATCGAGTCTGGTTAGTACCTAGATGGGTGACTGTTTGGGAATACTAGGTGCTGTAAGCTTGGATGTGCAGGTGGTGTAATGGATAATGGCTTAGAATTGGAAACTGGAGAATCGAGTTTGAATTTCAGTCAGGATTGTTATATTTGTCAAATACCCTTTCTTTCGAAGTACTCAACTGAGCGTATGTGTGTGTATATACTAGGTTGACCAGAAAGTTCTGTCTTACTTAGGAAAAAAAATGAAAGCAACAAAATGAGGAACAGCAACATGATAGCCAGAATGTCCTTATTCATTTGACTACCAACTTTCATATGCTGCGGTTATCTGTTACTCTTGCATAGTTTATATCTCTTTGTTTAGGCCCCTACTGACAGAAATGAGTTTGGAAGAAAGTGGGATTAGAGTTTTGATTCGCTACTGTTGCAACCAAAGACTATCTACAAGAGCTGCTGTGAAGGAAATTTGCGATACTAAAGGAGATGGCACAGTTAGTCAGTCAAAGGTCTCGAACTGGTACAGACATTTCAACTCCGGGGAACTTATCTTTGATGATCAACCACATTCCAGCTGACCATCAAACTTTGACAGTGAGGCTTTAGTGGTATCATTGAAAGTTGAATCATTTGTAAGCTGTTGTCATCTTGCAAAAGTTGTTGGAGTGTGTCATCCCATCAGACTGTGCTGAAATGATTAAGTGAGTTAGGACTTTGCAATATATATATATATATATATATATATATATATATATATATATATATATATATATATATATATAACCTGAAATAAAGGTAACAAAAAAATGAAGAAATAGCAGTCAATTGCCAAAATTTCCTGAAGAGTAGAATGAACAATTACAAAAATTTTCATCTATAAAACTCTCAAGTTAGCATGCTAAATATAACATCTAAATATAACATCAAACAGCTAAGTGACAAATTTCATTTGTATTAATCATATATATGTGTGTGTGTGTGTTTGTGTCTGTGTTAATTAAGGTGTATTTAAGAAGAAACAATTATTTAAAACAAGTATTTTTTTTTAAATGAAATTCTGTTTATGAAAATATTTTTGGTTTAATCCCAATGTTTCCTAGTTCCTTTAAATGTTTTGATGTTTTCTTTCTGTGAGAGAATGTTTGAAATTTTATTGTGTTAGTGATGTTGTTTGCTGCTGTGTCACATAATTTAAATAAGGCATATTTAGGCACCAAGAATTCTGTTAAACAAATTTTGTCAAACAATAGACTGTATATGAAAATGTGATTGGACAAAATTATGAAGCAGATGTATAAAAGTTAGAAATACAACTGAAACATTTATTTTATCATTTAAAGCAAAAGAACAAAACTTTTAAAGCAAATTTAACCTATATTTGATACTTCGTGTGGGATCCTTTTGCTTTTATAACTGCTTTTATGCACTTTTGCATATTGGAATCCAGCATAGCACAAGTAGTTGGCACAATTTTCTGCCATTCTTCATCAAGTTTGGCTTTTAATTTGCATTTTGTAGAATATTTGTGCAACCTCACTCTTGTATCTAAGAATGACCTTAGATGTTCAATGGGATTCAGATCAGGGGATTGAGGAGGCCACTTCCTTACTCTCACTTCTTTTTTTTCAAACCAACCTTTTGAAACTCTTGATGTGTGGCATGGTGGGTTGTCTTCTTGGAAGATTACTCCAGCTGGTATGTTATTGTTGAAACTTTTCTCTAATGAAGGTTGATAACTTTGGTCTAACATGCTTGTGTAAATGTTGGAATTCATTCTACCCTTACATGTGAATAACATTCCTATCCTGGAAGAGTTGGGACAATACATTGAGCATCATATGCTTCCCCAACTCTTCAATAAACATAAACAAATCCAGGGGTTCCAAAAATCTGATAAAATAAAAATTTTAGGGAGAATTTTTTATTCAATAAAAGTACATTATTAATAGATGTAATAAAATCAGTTATGCTCAATAAATTAGTTTCAAATAATAAAGGAACTTACTTCAAAGTTGCTTTCATCAGACCAGACAACTTTGACCTGGAAATTCTATAACCTTTCAACTTGTGAAAAAGACCAATATGCCAAACCTTGTCAAATGCCTTTGAGATATTCATGTCTGAACTTCACCATTTTTATCTGAAGCTTGATAGACTCTTTCAGCAATAATCAGGAACACATTAGTAGTTGTCCTAGAGAAGCGAAAGCCATATTGCTTATCTGAAAGAAGATCTTGTGAGGTGAGATTCTTAAAATATTCATAATTAGTTAGAGCCTCTAGTACTTTGTCAAGAGAAGTAAAATGTTAATAAGACCAATAGTTAAAAGGATCAGAGGATTTGACTGAGTTCTTAAAGACGGAACTACAGAAGAGGATTTCCAACAAGCAGAAAAGCAAGAAACAGCAAGGCACCTATTGTACATTTTAGAGAGAACAGGAGTCAGTTCGGGAACACAATTCTTAAGGACTATTGCAGAGATACCACAAAGTTCACATCATTTGAGGGGATCTAGCTTAAAGATGATAGCAGAAACCATAGAGGGAGTTATATGCATATCACTCAATAGAGAATCAGTTCTAAGTGGAAAATCAGGCAAAGATACCCAGATGAATCAAGAGTAGAATCTGAGGAGAATTTACAAGCAAAATATTCTGCTTTATCAATAGAAGTAGTTAATATCTCAAATCAGGGAATAGAAGACTTACTCTTATTTAAGTAGGTACCTCCAAATATTTTCTAAAAAAAGAGTATACCATGATGAAAAAAAAGTCCTCAAATTTGATAAAAACAAATTTTTATCATCAAAATTATATGTTATTGAGAAGAAAGACCAAAGTATTTTTTAATAATTTTATGAAATTTTTAATCCTTTCTAGCACGTTCGAAATTTTGATTAAAAATCTTGTTTTTCTTGTATCAGCAGGTGAGGTAAAGATTAGCATTGGAAATTTTAGCATCTTTTTTGGTGTTAAAACATTGTTTTGGAAATTCTTGCAAAAATCTAATAATTGTTGGATTTTAATTAAATTTTCAGGACTTATTCACAAATGAATGAAATTATTTTGAAATTTTTTTTTTTTTTTTTTAGAAAATATTGGTAAAAATATATATTTTTACATCTGTTACCCCATTTAATTTTGTGGAATTTCAAGAAATTAAAATTTCACTCTGTTTGTATTTATATTAGTTAAAAGCAGGACTTCTTGAAAAATTCAAATCATCAGTTTGTTTTTATGAAACAGAAACACCATTTACAGAAATCTGCTCTGAATCGTAAAATAAAAAATGGAATAAAACTATGACATTATTTAATTAGAAAAGCTTTTAATTACTTTTATAAATAAGATATATTAAAAACACTACTGTCTGAAGAAAAGAAAATTTTGATGAATAATGAATTTTTACAAGAATTGTTTTCATTTCTTTTAAAATTTTAATTAGAAAAATTATTAAAATTCTGTATTAATTTCAAACTTTTTGATGATTAAACGAAAACCATATTTACTAATTATAAATAGAAAAGCTTAATTCAAATCATCAAATACCAATATTTTGAAAATAATTGTGAATTTTTTTATATGTGTATAAATGTGCCAATTTCTGTAAGTTCTGGTGACCGTACACAACATAATCAGAAAATAAGAACGATAACTATAGTAAATTTAAAGCCAAAATTTCTAAACTATAAGCATTAGATTAGGTAGAATATTTTCCTAAAAATTTGAGATTACTGAATACTTAATAATTATAAAAAAGAGGCACTCACGTTATTTTCTTCAATTATGTTTTACAGATAGTTCCCATAGAAGAATATTAAATCTGTCATCATGCTGTCAGCACGCCCACACAGTTATTGTCAGATTAAGAAATGCATTTCTGCAATATTTTAAACTTAAAGTAAATAATATTCGTTTTATATCAGATTAATTATACTTTAAATCAGCTAATATTTCTCAAATAGTTTCAGAAAAGTATTTTTTTTATTTTTGTAATATTTTTAATAAAGAGAATTACATTGCAATGAACGACGACTGAAAATTGGCGCTAATCAGTTATTTTAACAAATAAAAACAAAACTCCATCCAGTCAATTTAAATTATTAGTTTTTGAAATACCGCAAAGTATTTTGCTTATTGGAAAAAATAAATTTAATCTATTAGCTTGAAATAAAAACTAAAATAAAAGCTTCAAGAAAGATTTTTCATTTTTTTAAATTTATTTTAAACCTTAGGTATTACGTTTTTTTTTGTGGAGGGCCCTAAGGCACTATTACAGAGCCGCCAGTATTCACGAGAATCAAACTTATTAAATTCTATGAGATATTTCATTCTATCCGCAAACAATGACTTAGCATCTTTGAGGACACGTTTACAATTGTTACGAGCAGATACGATTAGGTTTCTGTTGTGATCGGAACTATCACATTGGAACGCCTGGAAGAAGTGATTCCTGTGTGCTACAGCGGCAAAAAAACAGACCGGTGTGAAAAAAGGAGAATATTGTGGTTTCACCTGGTATTTCCAAGAAGGAAGAAAAGCATCGATGCCAGCTTTGAGACAATAAGAAACCTCTGTGGCACAGTTCTCAGTACGAAGGTTACGAATCTCAATCCAATCGAAATAAGTCACGAAATTAATCTCAGTCTCTACAGAAAGAAGTCTTGTGAATAGGAGATTACTTTCTAATAGACGAACGCAAAAGAAAAAGAAATATCAACAGAAACTAACCGAATTTCCAAGAGGACAGAAGTGTGACGCTCGACAAGAGCTAGGGGAATAGGTGGAGAACAAATCGAGTTAAGTAGCATGATTTATTAAGAAAATGAGTAGGGAAATTCACTATTTGACCATGAAACTGAGCAACGGAAAAATTGAAAATCTCAATACCGGCTACCTCGGTAACATTAATGTTTAAGCCACTTGACGTGATGAGCATTGAAACAATCAAGCACAAAAATGTTCACAGATGGCAGAGAAAGAAAGATTTCTATACTTTCAGAAATTTTTGCTGATATATTTCAGTCCTGAGAAGAAGGATATCGATAAAGGAAAAAGAGATAGC